ACTTTGGACATCGTTCTTATTTATCTTATTTAAAAATGAAAAAACAAATTATTGTATGTAATTGATAAGATAATTTCTTGTGTTTAATTTTTCCAGAAGTGTTTTCTAGCACTCTTTCATATTTTATCACGAACACATTATTAACTGATAGGCAACAAAAAATGTACATATATTATTAAAATTTTTCAAACAAATATAATCATCTGTTAGATAGTAAGAAGAATAGTCTTTTTTTAAGGAAATAATTATATTAATATATTTTTTTTCGAATCTTATAAATTAATAAGTTTTATCCTATTATGAGATTCAATACACTTGAGAACTTGGATTGTTTTGATTAGACCGAATTATAGTGTATTGATTTCGATATATGAATTATTATAGTTGATGACAATGTTGCAATTATGGTATTCTACAAAATATATTATTCTGTAGACTTTTATGCCATATTTTTTACTTTAAACGATGCTTTTTCAGCAGATATTCTCTCAAATGTTTTCAAGAATGACGAAAATTTAGATTCAAGATGAGTAGTAATGCATGTGTTATCAAGAAAAAAAAAAGAATATTCAAGAGTATTGTAAAGAAATTAACAATCGCACAAGTTTTTCTTGTCTTAATAGTGATAATTGTTGATTGCAGTATTTTCTGTTGAAAAAAACATCACGTTTGTGTTGATCTAAAGTACAAAACAAAGATATCAAATGATTGATTGCCATAAATGTATCTAATCCTTTGTTTCTTATTTCGCAATACTCACAAATTTAAACTTTACGTATCTTTACCAAGTATTGAAAAAATAGTAGAAGCTGTCGAAAGAAAATTCGTACAGTTAAAGTATTGAAGGTCAAGAACACTTTTTGTTTTCTCCCATCGTATTTGAAAGTTTTTCGTATGTTTTATTATAAAAAAAAGACTTTATATTCTTCCAAAAAAGTCACTACACCACTCTCCCATGTATTGTTTGCCTTCGGCTAGTCCCCATTATGCCCTATTTACAGTAATGTGTGTTTTCAAAAACAAGCAATCAATTAGTTAGAAACCTTCGTTTCAGAAATTACGATGCATATACATATTAGGAAAAAGACCGACGTCATCCCAATATAAATGTTGATACTTTTGTATACAGAGATTCATCATTAATATAACATAAAGAAAAAGTATAGAAACATCGAGATAATACTTGCTGTACTATGGTATAATGCAATTTACTTTCTAATATATCAACTGTCATGCAATGTTAATACAACCCTTTCCAAGCTATTTTGTTGTTTCATTATCTGCATCTTTATAGAAGAATAAAATATTTTCTGATGTCAGAATAACGAAAAATCTCGTTATTTTTATTGTTTTCAGGTAATTAATGAACTCGACGATTGTTGCCAGCTATCGGACGACTATACTTTGCATAGATCTTAAGACAATAATAAAAAATATAATATACATGATATTGAAATAAATACCAATTCAGCGAGAAAAACTCTTGGCAATATTGTTCTTTACAATTAGATATCGGTGAAAAAAAACATTATCTCATAGAATAAGAAATTAGTTTCAAAATGGATGATAAATGGGTGCTTCAGATGAATTAATAAACGATCAAACTATATTATATGACAAATAGAACTGCGAAAAATCAAAACGTTTATTTTTGACTTTAGTTTTAGCATACTTTTGCTTTTTTGTTCAACACATTTGTTATTATGACTAATATCAAATTCAAAGTCTCGGCCAGGGCTTAACAATGGAAATTGATTTTTAATAAATTCATTGGAGTTTATATTCATGAGTAGAATTGTATCTTACATATAGGAAACAAAACAAAACTCGTTCAACAGAATTTTAGTATTTCATTTTTTGTCCAATATTGTTAATCAATAAAAGTCTTAAAACATTTTTTTTCGTAAACTATACCAGATTGGTAGAAGTATTTTGATTTGTATGCGCCATTTGTTGTAAAATATATTGCAATAAAATAATTTCCTCATCAATTAGATTGTCCTTAGATCGAATAAATTCAAATAAAAATCAAAATAATTGTGATAGAAAAAGATTGTCTTTGACAATATTTTTTAATTGTATCTGACAATTTTTTTATCCCACACGTATTCATTTATACCTTGTTCTAGTTTTCTTGTCTAACAAAATGTCACGTATAATAACTAAAGAAGAACAAATTCACTTATATTGTTTGTTTGACAGTTTTATAAGATTTGTCTCATGGAAAATATCTAAATTCATTTATATATTACACTTTAATTCAATTTTTTTTAATAATGAAAAAGAAAAACAATTATTCAAAAAGAAAATCTTTTATTCTTAGCGCTTGCTAGATGCATTGTAATTTTAAGAACGAAAATTGAAATTTGATTCCTATAATTTTGATTCGAACATTATAGAAGAGAATCATTTATTGATTTTTGAATTAGAAACGAAAATTAAAAACTAAATTCAATCTCTATTGTAAATCTCATTGAAAGAAAAGTATTAATATTTGTAATGAGAAAAAAAGAAAACAAAATAAAATCTTTTATTTAATTGATATATAAATACGAATATAAATTGTATTCAACAATTGCATTCATCATTAGATTGTCGAGTATTTTTCTATTCGAAAGACAACAATGAAGTTTATTTTCGCCATTATTTCTTTAATTTGTCTTGCGTTGGTACATAAATCATTGGCTGTACCTGTCGATGTTGAACTCAATTCCGTTCAATTAGGTGAACCCCGCTTCATTTTGCCCACTTTGAATTGTGTTATCAAATGTGTTTCACCAGTTGGCGAAGAGAGCAACGAGAGTGAAGTTCAAACGCGTGGCTTTGTTTCCAACTATGCTGGTTTTTTTAAATGTTTGGAAGAATGTAGTAAAAACTAAAGAAAATGAAATTATTTTGTCTAATCGATTAAACTTGTCAACGTCATAAATAAAAAGGAAAAAATAAACGAAATACATTAAAAAACAAGAAATAATAGAATTCTTTTTCTTTTTCCATTCAGTGTCAATACAACCTGATCGCTTACTGGTAATAATAGATTGCCTTTGCCTGTTATTTTTTCATGCATCTATGCAACATATCTGCATCTGTCATAAGATATATCCGGTCTAATATTTTCGCCTTATAGTAATTCTATACATTGCTTTGCTAGATTTAAGAATGTTCTTAATTACTTGGAAAAAAAGAATGTTAACACGACAGAGTCGTTTGTTTTCTCGTACGTCTTTCTATATATTGATATTGTTCTTCAAAAATATCAAGTATTACAAGTATTTGTTTTTCTTGCTTAACTATATTACACAGATCCTTTTTATTAATATAATACTAAAAAGTAATATTTTGCAGTCTATAAAAATCGCTCGGAAGATGTGTGGAATTTTCGAAAACAAAGATAAATGTGGAATTGAAAAATGCATATATAGATAAGATTGTAACTTAATCAAAATGCAAAAAAAAATTAGTTACTTTTTTAAAAAAAGGTGAATAGTCCATGCCTAGTTTTTATTTTCTATCAGATGTTGATTTCTTATCAAAATTAAATTAATAAGAAGTTACTAAATACAGTTGCTCCTATAATTTTGTTCTTGTATTCTTATAACATGTATACATATTTAATAGAAGTGCTAATCAGACAGATAATATTTAATTCTTTAACATAATAATTCTTAATAGAAATTATCAATATGATACTCATTACAATGAATAATTATTTTTAATTTACAAGTTGTTTTATTTATATATACTGACATATTCCATAAAAAGAAGAATATTCTTTAGTAAAAAAAAAATATTTAATAATTAATCATCAGATATAGGAATATATTCTAGTCACTGAGAAAAGATAATATCTATTTAAATTATTTATTTCAAGTAAAAAGAAAAAGAATGTTGAGATTATATTTAACGCATGAAAAAATTCTTGTTTCTTTTTGTTTTTTATTTAAAAAAAACTTTCTTTCAGTTCATTTTATCTTATAAATATGTATGCTAGATAGTTTCTCTTTATTTATAAACTTGATTGTTCTCGAGTACTTTTTTCGGTATATTTATGAAATTAATTTGATTTATCATCAAAGGGAATGAAAGTTTCTTTCAACATTAACAGCTAAGATCATTATAATATATTATACATCGATATTTTTATATTTCATTTTGTTTTGTCTCGAAATTATTTTCTATTATTCTTTATATGATGAGTTTATTGCTCAAGAGTATTTGGTGTTACTATTTTGACGAATCATTATATGCATATCTAACAACTGCCATCATTGGTGGTATCTATTGAGATAATCATATAGTAATTTTCAAGTGAAATGACGAAAACAGAACAAAGAAAATAATAATTCATGTTTCAATGTCTAACGATCAATTCGTCACAATAGTGAAAATAATGATGATAAGAAAAAGCGAATTTCAATACATAGGATATATCCTAAAATTAAAAAAAAAATAATTTTTCTATAAATATTTTGTTACTTGAAGTTTTAATTGAACTACAGGCAGCAGTGTCTTAAATTGTCTTCTTTAAACAAATGTAGATTCTTTCTTTGTACCTATTATTATTAATAATAGAGAGGTACTTTGGATGGTTGTCATCACTTGAGAATCTGTTTTTTTTTGTGCTGTATATGTTTCATATCAATGGGCTATTAGAAGATGCTGTCACTCGTAATTGATTTTGTTTCCTGTTCAGAAAGAATCACAAGCTGTTTCCTCTTTTTTTTCTTTGATTGATCATATGCACTGTGCACCCTCATTATTACCAAAAACGGACCTCTAATGCTTGTCGGTTGATGTCTCATACTTTATGACGGCAAAAAAAAACCAGAGAATTGGAAAAAAATAGAACACGACAGAAACAGAGAAATGGGAAAGAGAGAGAGAGAGAAAAGAAGATAGACAAGAAAAAAAAGATTAATATTGAGAACTAATATTATTTACAATTTTAAAATTCATTGGATGAACACGACAAGAACTCTTATCTTGATATTACTTCAATAATGTTATATAATACATCTTCTTTATCAGAAATAACATGTCCTAAACCAGGAACACGAGGTCCTGATGCACCCTTCTATCATTGGTTAGCACTTGGCTATGTTTTTTTATTTATTCTTGCTTTAACTGCTAATTTATGTGTTCTTTTCAAATTATTTCATTATTCTCGACGTCGTTTTCGTGATCATATACTTTTATTAAACCTATGTGCTGCTGATTTATTTGTAACTATTGTTTATATTCCAAGTGAAATTTATGCTTATACTGTTGGTCGTTGGCATAATGATGAAATATGTAAAATGATTGCTGCACTTAAGGGTCTTGGTATCTATGTATCATCATGTACAATAATTGGTATATCACTTGATCGCTATTTATCGATTGTACATCCGTTGACCGTATATCAATCAAATATACGAAATAAGCTATTTGTTGTTGGTTCATGGTTAATATCTGCAGTAGCCTGTATACCACAAGTAAATTTTAAATTTTTATAATTATTTTTTTATATGAAATATTTTTCTTTATTTATTGAAAATAGTTAATTATTTTTAAGCGATTAACAAATGAAGAATTATGTCGTGAAATGTGTGGTGATATACTGTCAGCCGATCCAACAAAGCGTTTGGCTTATAATATAGCTGTTGCTATATTTGCATATATAGCACCTTTAATAGCTATTTTTTATTCTTATTTTCGTATTTTATATGTTTTACAAAGACGATGTGATCGACGAACATTTCGATTTGTTAAATGTCACAGTGTTAGCACACGTAGTAATGAAGTAAATCAATCAAATTATCCATTAAATTCAAGTACAAAGAAAAGTTTTCATCTTGAAAGAGAACGAGAAGGAACTGGAAGATCATCTAGAAAATCTGTTGAACAACAAGAAATCAATACACATAATATGAAAACAATAACACGAGCAAAATTAAAAACATTAAAATTAACTGTTATAATAGGTAAAGGTTTCCTTACGAGAAAACAAAGTTGAATGATGTCTTTTTTTTAGTTATTTGCTTTATTCTTTGTTGGACACCTTATTATTGTATCGTGTTTTTTCTTCTTATAACTGATGCTCGTATTGATCATGAAAATTTACTAAATCAAAATACAAATTCTACACTAACTACACCTAGAAATATATCAATTTATGATGAACCATCACGTGATGAACGTTCACTTTTAATTGTTATGATGCTTGCTGTATCAAATTCTGTTTTAGATCCATTATTATATGGTAACTATCCATAGTAAATATATATGTGAAAAACATATTCATTAATAGATCCTTTAGTTTTTTTTAATTAATGATGTATTCTATTATACGTTACTGTCTTTTCTTTTTATCTTGTCAGGTTGTTATTTGGTACGACCTATTAAATCGAATTGTTTACATGAAAAAAGAACTCGAATTGATACAACAACATTAAAACGTATTCCGGCTATAGTAGGTGCTGATAAAGAATCAAAATTAACAACAATACGAACAAACCTTAAAAATGATAATAATGTTCAACGTGATGTGCCAGTCGAATGTCAACTTTAAAACTAGACAAAATACAGGATTTCTTTTTTTCTTTTAGTTTCTATTGTTTTTTTTTCGTCCACTATCTCTATTTCTTTTTCCTTAATGTTATTCCTTTTGATCGCATAACAAACCAACAAATAAGATAAAATCTGAAGTCGACTGAGTATTGGCTCGGTCCCCAAAGTGAAATGGGTTTCGTTCGTAATCTCTAATAAACATCATAGGATTCCCAATCAAAGTGGGGCTAAGAGTGGAACCAGTGGGGACTAACTCAATGTGTCTACTCAGTAGGAAAAATTGCACATACATGTCATCAATAATTGATGATAAAAAAAGAACAGGATTGTATCTTAAATTTTGTTTTTCATCACGTTTCCAACACTTGCATCAGAGATCGATACAAAATCGAGAGAATACTATAATCCATCAACTTGAATATAGATTTAAATGAAACCGTTAGGAATTATGAATGCTAAATGATCAGAAGATCATGAAAGCTCAATGTTATATTCATTGAATAGGAAATGAAAATACCAGATTAAAATATACAGTTGAATACGGACAAAATCAATAAAATGAAATAGATATTCTTATTTTTTGAATGCTAGTTTTCGAATATTTATACCATATGTTAATTATTCAATCGAATGATATAAATAAAGATTCTTCGGACGAAAGAGTCTCGATATGAGAGTCGACAGAAAATATTAGATATAAAAAAAAAAAAAGTCAATTAAGACTTTGATATTAGGGAACACACTTAAGTCGATTAAAAAATTTTATTATTCTTTGATACGGAAGTTCGGTTACCAAATGATTCGTTTCCATATAGATGGTAGATTAATGAAAAAATACTATCTCCGATGATAATTAACATAAATGACGAATAAGGAATTCTCCATACCTATTATCAAGAGATGAGCGTATATATTGTATTTTAGCACTGAATATATCTTTCACTAATGATAAATCTATATCATTATATTAAGAATCATTTTATTAAAATATATAGAATGAAATTTAATTCAACACATACAAAATAGAAGATTCATTAATCTCATGCCATACTATAAACAAACGAGTCAAATAATCAAATTATTACTTGATCTAATAGAAATTCTTTTAGTATATACTAATTAGATATTATTGAAGCATGAAAAATCGAATAATAACATTTTTTTTATAGATTTATTCCATAAATGAACAGGGTCTGTGATTGCAAACTCAAGTATTTAGGCGATTAATCAGATGCTTTAAATAGAATTAAGAATCGGAAAAAATTTAAACTTTCAATATTTATAATTTTTATCAAAACTTAAAAGATTATTGTAAGAGTATTTACTTTATTCTACGCAAATTTTCTTGTAAAATTATATATAAATAAAAACACAAATAGAATATCATTTATTAATTATAACCGCATATTTTCATTCATTAACGAAAAGAAAAAAAAAATAATTTAAGAACTTTTTTATTCTAAATCCTGCTTAAATAGACTCATTGCTTTCGAATGAAATCTACATGATTAAAATTTCCTAGTAGACTGAAACTATAACAGCTATCGGATGTACTTTGTCTCTCTGGACATTTTTCCATCACAAGATTGATTAATTATGGAAAAATTATTGTGGACATTTTTAAGTCTCTGGAATTTTCTCATTATCATTTTCTTTCATATCGATATAAATACTAAATACCGTATTGTTTCATTTTCCTTATTGTTTAGTTCTACTTGGAACACGATGATATTTTTCTTTTTGTTGCCTTAATTAGAATCTCATCACATCACGAGAGGACATCATCGATCATATTTCTGTTTTCCTATTAATGAAATAATGTTAAGATCAAATAATATAAAGATCGTATTATAACTTGAAGTATATTTACTTTCTTATTATTTAAAAATTTTAAAGTAAAATTTGTTTTTATATCAAAAAAAGTTGTCGAGAAATTTAGGCAAACTAATATCCACGTTAATTCAAAAGAATTAAAAGCCACATAAGAGTATTTTCATTTGCTTAGCTGTATTCATTATTTTTAAAAAATGTTCGTTTATAATTAAATTTTTATTTTTATTCTTAATAAATAAATATACTTCCTCTTATGATTACTAAATCAACCGAAAAGAAAATTTATATTCAAGTGGAAGTTTTGAACAATACCAAAAAAAGAAAAAGATTACAGACATGATAAAGAAAACAATGATAGAAGAAAAAGAATAAGTTAATAATTTATTATTTATAGTTGGTCGTTAAATTCTCTGTGATGTTGATAATTGCTCATATTTTGAAAAACAAATGGTGAAGATATTTCAGACGTATTATAATTCATTAGGTTATATGGTATACTAGTAGCATCAAGCGTTGCCGGTGGAAAGGAACTTGTTGGAAAAGGATAACTAAAAAAAGAATAGAAAAAAAATTATTATTCTTTTTTGTACTTTAAATTTTTATTACCGAAAATTTGACCACATTGAATTATAAAACGAATGATGAGAATGAGGCAAATAATACGATGGATGTGGAGTGATAAATGGTGGTGGTGGTGGTGGTGGCAATTGGAGTAATGAATTAGCTGGAGGACTTATTGAAGACTCATGCGAGACATCATCATCCTGAAGAAAAACTAGTTTTAAAATATTCAATTAGTTGATTTGTTATACCAAATGAATTCCACTATCGTATTGTTGTTGATTATCTTTATCAAAAGAATATTGATCATCAAATTTTTGTTGACTTTTTTTTAAACGAGCTCGACGATTTTGAAACCAAATCTAAACAAAAAGAAAAAAAAAGAATATAAAATATTCATTTATTTTATATAAACCGTTATTTTTTGTGTAGGTAGCTTAAGTTGTTCAACAAGATCATCAACAATATCAACAGTTGGATAACGATGTTGTTGAAAAGTAGATTCGAGTAGGTTTAACTAATTTTATTTTTAAATTTTAAAGTAAATAAAAAGGAAAATTTTCAAGTGTTTTCCTTTTATACCTGTTCTTGACTAAATTTTGTTCGTATACGTTTTTTATATATCATAGGCATTGATAGTTGTTCATTTTCATTTTGTTCATGTTCTATATTTGATGATTGTATCATAGAAATATCTTCATTACAATTTTGTTGAATAAATCGATCTGAATCTATTAAATTTTAGAAATAAAATAAAGTAATAATTTTTATTTAGATTCTTACAATTAGCTGAATATTGAAATGATAAATCATTACTTATGTGTTGTTCGATCATTTCACATAATGTATGCTGTTGAATATCTGTACTCGATTTGCTATCGACTTGATCCATGATTTCAATGTATAAAATTATTCTTTTTTCATGCACTATGTATCGAGAAAATAACGAATGATAGAACGATGTAAACAATCAGAGAAAGAAAACAAAATGTATTTTAGTCATTCTTCGTCTTTCCATGTCTCCTAATATAAGATGTATGAATAAGAAAAAAGAAAACATATTTGTAAACCAATAGAATGATCACTATGTACCATTTTTACGAAACTATCATAAACGAATAATAAAAATTAATTTCGAAATCTACTTTAGTAGAACAGACTTTTTAGTAGAATTTCAAAGTAGCAATACAATGAAACTCATTAAATGAGTTATTTTTAGCTATCATTTTTATCTGAAAAAGGTACCGACTGAAACTTTACTGTTTGTAGTAATTGTATGTTCGCAGATCAAATTTCTTCACTCTTTTACAACATAAAACAAGTAAAATAATTCATAGGATAAAAAAAAGCAATGTTTCTATCAATTTTGTTTCCGTTATTATTGTTGATCATTATTTCACCTTGTAAATCTGATTATTCTGTTTATTGTTTAAATGGTCGACCAGCTTTTTCAATATTTAATGTATCTACTTTTACATTTTCAGCAAGATGTTCTACACCAGGTCAATCATGTTATGACAAAAAAGGTAAATGTAGTACAGAACACTTATGTTGTCCTCGTACACTCAAGTAAGAAAATAAAATGTAATTTTATTTCTTTCGTCTCTAATATTAATATATCAAATTAGAATGTCATCAAAATCTCAATTATATGATCGAGCAACAAATATTAAATTTATTCGTATTGGTAATGATTATAAAAATGCCTATCGTTTATTTGAATTGAATTTATTATCCAATAATTCTATCATGTATGATAGTTATCAACGATGGTTTTTCTTTGAACAAACATTACGTGATCTATTTGAAATGCCAAATGCTAGATTTTGGTATGCAGTTATGAATTGTATGCACAATTATGGTATTGCATATGCATTTGTTCCACTAAATGCAACATCGGTTACAGCTAATATAAGTGCAATGACAATATTAACAAGACAAAAAAATTCATTCGATAATCTTTATATATGCTATATGGCAACACGAAAAGAAAATCGTCGACAAGGTTTAGGTACAAGTCTTTTACAACAAATCGTTCATCGTGCACTAGATGAACAAAAAAATGGTATTAAATATATAACTTTACATGTCAATACATTAAATACAATTGCACTTGAATTCTATGAAAAATGTGGTTGGCGATGCTATGGATATTTACCTAAATATCTTGATCCTGAACCACATCATGCAACAAATCATGCATATACATTAATACTTAATATAGATAATGTAAAAAATGTTACTAGTCTATGTCGAGATCCCGATGCTGTTGATATAAAGCAATCAGACAATAAACAGAGCATAGAAAATTGTGGTCGTGTACCTGTTCAGCTTTAGAAATGAAACGAAAGAAGAAAAACAAATACGAATTCTTCTACTTTTTTTCTTTTTTCTTTTTGGCTGGAAATACAAAAAAAAACCTAATTTGCTTTTATCGGTCTTTAATCAAACATAATAAATAAATCTGAAAATAGAGTCAATGTTGATTTTTAATTGACAACATAACCAATAAAAATCTATTTACATAATAACAAATAAAAACGAGTTTACATGTAGTTTTGTTTAATTAGAAAACTATAAAAGCTTTTATCAGTTGCTAAGTCGTTTTTTATATGAAAAATTTTCATGTGTCGAATATTCATCATCACAACATTATAAAAAAATCAGAATACAATGAGAACTTGTGGTAAAAATAATATACTTGATGCCCAATTACCTACCTATCGACAGTCCAATGAATTTTGTACGTTTTCTAATAATTTACGTAATTGGAAATCAGTTTCAAATATATATTCAAAGAAAAAACTATTATATCTTGATGAAATTAAACCTTATTTACAAAAATATTTTATTAATAATATGTCTGTTATTCATCAATATTGTAAAAAAGATAAATTTATCGATAAACAAACATTTGAACATATTTTACGAAGGTATTCAGTTGAAATATCAAAAAAGAAACATAATGCTCTAGTATCTTTTTATATAATCTAGTTCAGGCATTTTAATTAATAATTCTTGTCTTGAATCTTTATGGAATTCATGTCAACCATCTACTAAAGGTATTTCTTATGAAACATTTCTTCAAAATTTTGTTTTATGTCCATTAGAAAATAATCAAAGTAAAATTTATCTTATTAATAAGAAATAATATTATTATATTTTATTTTATAGACTCAATCGATTGCTCAAAAGATAATTTCTTGTCATCAAATCAATGTCGAATATTAAATTATTCAACACGTATTGTTCATACAGTTAAAAAATATTGGCAAAATTTAAAAGATGAATTTTTGTAAGTAAATGCATCATTCCGTTATTTTTAACAAAAAGAAAAAAAAAATTTTCTTTCATATAGTTCTCTCGATCGATATGGTCGACTATTTATTACGATTGATCAAGCCATGGTATATATTTTACAAATGCATTCATCTGTTTATTTTCATTCTTTAGTGAAATATGATCTAAAAGAAATGTTGAAGGATAGAGGTAGAAATTTGGACTCACTCTCTACTCATAGACATGACGCATACCTGAACAATAGCTCATCACAGATGTGATCGACACTATTAAGGAACTATCACAGACATTATCATGAGATCAAAATCCATTACAGGATTAGTATGGTAGTTGTCCTTTACTTTTCTTTCATGCTCACCAGAGATAGAACCAATATTGTCTACAGGGCAGTCTTCCGATAGATTAGCGGTTACCGATAAACCGGAAGACTGATTGTTATTCGATGTCTCATTAGTATTTTTGGTCTTAGTATCTCATAGAGAATATATAATGAAACTTTGCTAAAAGTTGAATATGCCAAATGTCACTGCCACATATGACATAGGATGACAACTCATCAGTCCAGTATCCTTTTAGATTTCAGACCAATTGTTCTGTTCTACTCAGACTGATTTCATCTCTGATACTTACTGAAATATGTATATTGCAATAGATATCTTTCATCATTGACATGCATTAACAGTAGGTAGGAATTCATAAACTGAAACATATATGGATTAATGCTCTCTTTTTCAATACCAGTAGCGCCATGAATGTTTCATACGATAATTCTGCAAGAATTGTACTAACAGTTTTTTTTTTGCATAGGCTTTAATGAAAAAATATTGTTTTCCTTTGAGTGATAATCAACAATGTGAACTTGCTTTATTATTTTCAACAAAAGCTAATGGACAATTCAATTATTTTGATTTCATGCAACATTTTTCTAATCAATCATCATTAAAAAATCTTAATCAAAATGTTTTTTCTCGTTCAACATATGTTATTCAATCAAAAGTAAGAGAATAAAAAAACAAAAATGAAAGATATATGTTGTTTTTGAAATGTTTACATTCTTTAAGCAATCGTGGACATGTTTACCAGTTACAATCAATTGTATTCTTAATCGAATTCGTTCTCAAGTAAGTAAATTAAAAACAAAAGAATATAGATTTGACTATTGTTTTCTTTTCATTCTATTTGTTTTGATTTAGTGCATACATAATTATGGAAATATCTACCGAGTGTTTAAAATAATTGATAAAAGTCGTCAAGGATATTTATCTCAAATTGAATTTAAACAATTACTTAAAAAATTTGATATTCATCTTGATGAAGAAGAATTCTATCATGTTATATCTGAAATAGATAAAAATCAAGATGGAGTTATTTCTTATGATGAACTTTATTATGCATTAATTACTGATGCTTTAATAGTTTGATTGTATAGAAAATGTGATTTGGAAAGAGTTGAAAATAATATTGAATTTTAATTTTCATGATCTTTAAGATAAGGAATAAAATATTTAGAAAAGAATTTTAAGTAGAATTATAGAAGAAAATGAATCTTCATGTCGATGCCATTAAGTTTTTTTTTTTTTCAATTGGTTTTTTCATCAAAAATCTTATAAAGACTAACAAAATAGAATTCCAATATGATCAATAATCTGCTTTCTATGGTCATTTTTGCAATAACACGAAAACAAGTAAAGCTAGTGACTTGTAGTTTTGAGAGATCAAATGAGTTAAATCAAGATATCCATTCATATTAAAATCAATAGGCTAAATCGTAAAAGTATTTGTTTATCTTAGTTTCAAAGAATCATGACAAAATCATATTGGCCTCGTTTTCAAAAGCAAAATATCCAATTAATTTTAAACATTCATTCAATAATGTTTTTCTATTGATTAAATTTAGTAAAATGAAAATTCACTTACATATCTTAGATGCAAAGAAAGTTTTCGTTTTTCTTCAGCGAAATCTTAAATCGCGTCAAATTTAGCAAAAAACTTCCAATCAGTCTTCTGAGTCATCGATCGCCCTCAACTTTAAGAACCTAGAGACATTTGTTGAAGTAAATATATGGTGTGACTAATTAAATTTGACATAGACTGTTATTTTCTAATCTTTTGTCGTTTTTTCACGATGATAACATTGGATTACAACGACGGAAAATCTTGTTTTCTCATTACTCACTGATGTGTATCATTCGGTTCGTCGTTTTCACTTTCTCTCTTATATAATGATTGTTCTGTTATCTTTTCAATATGTTCTTTTGTCTCCTTCTCGTGACTTATACTTGTCTCTTCTTTGATCTTGTGTCATGAGTTAATGATATATCCCAACATACACATCAAGACTCAACCATCATATCGTCACACAAGCATTTCTTTAAGCAAGCTTGTCACGCTCACTAGTATTTTCCATCCTTAAATTATCACAAAATACTACAGTCACTATAGTCTCTTATTGACGAGATACAGTAGACTTTGAGGACTTCAAAAGATTTCAAAAAACTTCTAGACTAAAGTCTCTGCTATTTTTCATTCGTCTGTGACCATACATTACTTTTGGATAAATTTGATTAAAAAACAAGATTTCTTTTTTGTTTT